GAGAGAGAGAGAGAGTGCTCAATGGGTGTCTGTAGTGTGTTTGTATTGCTCCACCATCGATGCCGAGGGAGGAAACAGGGTAGCATCATATACCGATGCATACAGCAGGTGTTCCCATCTTGTGCTAAATTTAGTATGGAGAGCTTTGAAATGCGCATTGCAGGTTGTGTGCCAAGACAAAGGAAAGTAGTAGTGGAGAATTTGGATTGGGCGGTAGGAGCACGACAACAATGAGATAATTCATTAATCAAGGGTGTGCATCTCTATTGCCGCCATTAAACAAACGCTTTGTTCTGTTGAGCGGGGTGTGGGGGTTTGATATTTATATTTGTAGACAAGTACATTGATGCCTATGCTATACTGCTATGTAAAGAAGACTCCTTGTACAGAGAGCACTCTTAGGATTAGACAATCTTACTTATCGAGCCTTTGGATCTGTCACTATATGCATTAGGATTTTGATTCATAGAACTCTTAGTTTCAGAAAACTCATTCCACTACAACCAGTGCGTATCAACTTTATTATTTTTAAGATTCGTTTTATTCTATATTTTGGTGGCCGATCTCGGATCTGTATTGACGTAATGTTTTGGGACAATTTTAGTATTGAAAGAAAAAGGCAACAATACAAGAACTCATCCAGCAAGAAATAGATTACGGCACTGCTTTGCATGACCTTTTTGATGTACTCAACCAATTTTATTTTGTTTTCATTTCTCATAAACGTATTGGTGGAGAATTTGAGTCTATAGTATTGAGTTCATTAAATATTAGCTTTGAGAAATTATACATTGTATTAATGTTACTATTATCTTTATACATCATGTGACTTGGTAGTTTAACAACATGGATATCATATATTTTTTCAGTTCTGTTTCCAATTCGCAGTAAAAAAGAAGCAAAATCAAGGTCAGTAACAACTCACTTATTTGTTTCAGTTCGAGGAGACTTCAAGTTTCGGCTACAGGAAGGACTTAGTTAAATGAGAGTTAACTACATCTGTTCTTGTACCTTTTTGGAACTACAGGTAGAACATGTCTGAAATCTCTTTGAAGTAAAATTGCTTTTCCTCCAAAACAAAATATCACTTGACATTATATCTTGTAAAGATCGATTTAAACATTGGAATGCATATTTTGACATCATTGGCGACTTGTCTCGTACAAGTTTTGCTAAATTACTTTGTTTTTCGATATTACATGTTGATGCACTCGTTGGTTTTAGTGGGATTTTAAATCATAGGGGACTCGTTTTGCTAAGTTACTTTGTTTTCCAATATTACATGTTGATGCAGGCATTGCATTTAATGAGATTTTAAATCATATGTTTTCTTATTTTTCTATGTTTTTCGATATTGCATGTTGGTGGATTCGTTAGTCATGGGCTCAGTTCTTATGTCCCAAACCAAATAACGCGGTAAGCTCCTTATCAAAGCAAAAATAAGTCATGGCTCAGGCCTTAATAAAAACAAACTCATAGGAAACCTTAGTCACAAACCAATTCACTGCCTCAATCCTTGTTCTAACAATAGATATGATGATCTACTATTAATATTTCAATTAAATTTTATTTAATTTATTCATATACGCGTTAGGGTTTTACTATGAAGTCATGAGACATATAATATTGAAAAGCTTCCGAAATTCAGCGAAATTTTGCTAGATATGATTGAAATGTCGGTATCTAGCGTATGAGTTGGTGTACCTTACAAAAGATAATATAATGGTAGATCATATAACGCTTTTTTCTTTTTTTGTTTCATGCCGTCAGGGTCAACAGACATAATGGAAGTTTCCATTTTTTTTTTTTTGATTTTTACTAATTATAGATCATTTTTTTTGAAATAAATATAATATTATGTTAATAGGAAATATGAAACATATATTTATTTTTAAAGAAGCTCTTTCAGAAAATAGTAAGCGCTATAAATAGTAATTTTTAAATAAAATGTACTAAAAAAGAACTCATTTTTAAGATAAACGCTAAAATTTTATTATTTACAAGGAGTTATAATATAATAAATCACAGTATATACCCGTGGGAGTAACAAAATCCAAACAAAAGTTATATGAATAGAGCACTAAAGTTATGGATAATATAATATTAATCTATGAATTTAATATTTTAATTCAATATATTATGCTTTTTAATTTTACCTTTTTACTTTTTTTGTTATGTTTTTCATTAATTTTAAGTTTTTATTTATGTATTTATTATTTTTCAGTTCATTACATTAATGTAAGATTATATTACAAATTTTTTATTTTTTATTTACTAATATGAAATAATATATATTATATACTATGTAATATATTATATATTATATTAACTATATAATATATGAAATATAATACATACTATAATATAAGATATATTACATAAGGGAAAGGTGTTGGGGGTCGTGTTGGTTGTATCCACACCCGGTTACCACATCGTGGTATCCAGTCCTATCACTGACATCCCCAATTAATACTTTCAAAGTGTAACTCCCCAATCGATTGATAT